TATTTGACCTCAAGGCACTGGTGGACATGAGCTCTATTGGGACCATTTTTGCATACACTCTTGTTGCAGTATGCCTTCTTATATTAAGGTAAGTACTCAGCCTAACAAATTAACATACGCTACTGTTCACTAAAAAACAATATATTCTTGTAAAAAACAAACAAACAAACAAAAAAAAAACTAGCCAGTAGAATAAAGATTGCAAATCAATTTGTACATGCATGGTGCTTTTATCCCCAGGTTAACTGAAAAATCTAAATTGCCCATAGGTGTGAATGTGCGAGTGAATGTGAGTGTGAATCGTGGTCTGTCCCTGTGTGTTAGCCCTACGACAGACTGGCGACCTGTCCAGGGTGTACCCCACTTCTCGCCCTATGACAGCTGGGATAGGCTCCAGCGCCCCCCGTGACCCTGAAAAGGAGAAGGGGATGGGTGGATGGATGGATGGATAGTGCTTTTATGCTCTGAGCACCCAAAGCCCATCCTGTCCAATATCTTTAGAATGGATCAACTACTGTTTTGACTTATAGTCTTGAGTTTAAGTAGTGAATAGATGATGTATCCTACATCACTGGAAGAACATTTACAGCATTTATACAATGCAAACTTTAAACTTAGTGCAAAATAGCATTGGGACAAAATGCTAAGTACATATATATGCAAATGAATTTAAGTGAGCTCACAAACTTTAGGCAGAACTTCATGGTACTAATGATTTGCAAATCTAATACACCTTTATTTTAATCACATTAAAACACAGATAACCTATAAAATGTATACACTGATATTTAATGGTTTATGGTATTTTATTCATCCCAATCATTTGATTATATATGCATGTTGTACAATCATTCTATCCTGAAGAGAGAGCCGTTGAAAGTAACTGATTAATATCCCCAGATTAACAAGATACACTCATTATGAGTGTATGTACAGCTTTTTTTGTTTGTTTTTGAGCACGACACATGCTTTTCAGCAAGATGTTGTATTTTTAATCAAGATGATGCTTAACTGCAGCTATTGCAACAACACAGATTCATAGTACTAGTGTGCTGAAATGCCCACCATGCAGTCAACTTTGACATTAAAAATACAAGAATGTGACAATATTCCTCTTCCAAAAGTCCAGCAACTGTTATCTATAATTCCCAGGTGTTTTCCCAAATGC